GATGGAAAGGACCCCATGGTGGTGATGAACATACCTCCCACATATCCAAACAGATGATAGGCTGGAAAAATAAGGGAAGCCGAATTAAATCCTATAAAAATAAAGTCCACAAGATATTTCTAGATCAGCATGGAGAAAAGTTCTCACAATGTCATTCCACACAAGAGGATTGACAGCATTTGATGTTCTAACAACTGCAAGACGTTTCTCCTCCCTCTTCACTGAAAAGTAACAAACCAATGGAACCGCATGAAGCACTTACCAAGCCATTTTAAAAATGAATTAGATATTAAGATTGTACATGGTTGTTGTACCATTTTCCAGTAAATTTGATTTACGATTAATACTGACTAGTTTCCAAATCCAGGTACTTGTTGTCTTTCCTATGCCATTTTAACTTGAGAAATCTATCGAGCAACTAAATGATTTCAACTCGGCATATTATTTAGTTCTTTGGTAAAGATACAGACCATAATGATGGGAAAAAATGGGTAGCCTGTCATGGCATTTTACTAGTAAAGTAGAGATGGCACAGGTAATAATAGCTGGGGGGGAAACCAAAAGCAAGTAGAGAACTTACAAACAAGCCAAACCCAGCCAGAACCAAACAATGAGAGTGCTTCTTCAATAAACTTGTCTCTGAAATTTGTGAATGAGCCAAAGTCCTTCTCAATCTGCTGAAGTAGGCCAACCTTAGGCATGTCCCCTCCTCCAGGTTCCATGGATTCCCAAAAGAAATCATGGTTCCAGACCTAATCAAACACATGATTCCTTAAGTATACCAATAGCTGGAGAACATTCACAAGCCACTAAAAAAGTTCATTTTTCGAGAATTCTAACTTGACATAATTGAAGGGGCAATATCAAATATCTCAAAAGACGCTCTATAGGTGAACCTAGCATAATAACTAGTCAATCAATTACCCTAGTAAAGCTAGTAAACAAAATCAAGAATGCAATGCTCACACATCTATATACCTGGGCAGCATTGTTGAACTCAGGTAATGGATTTCCGTTGTTATAAGTGACTTTAATCAGTTCTTCCAGGGTGTATCCATACAGTACGTCATTCTTCCCAAGCTGTTTGTTCAGAGCTTCAATGTAACCTCGGTGGTGCCCACCCCAGTGTAACTCTACTGCCTTTCGGCTCATGTAGGGCTCTAATGCATCCTATAAATTCACGCATTGTAGCATTATACTCAAGTGTCAGGTGAGAAAACTGATTGAAAGCACGGAATCTCAAGGAACAAACACAATGTTGAAAAATTAGAAACTCACAAGTTCGTAAGGAGGTGTTTTGAGGCCGTAGTAAGCACAAATTCTTCTTTGCTTGGAGGTTTTTATTTGCTTCCGTGACACATTGCTTTGGGTCTTCCCTACAGTAATAGCTGCCGGTCTTGAAAATGTAGAAAGAAAACTGCAGCTCATATCTGGTAAAAGGAAGACAAATAAGCGGTTTGGGCATTTCAACAAACATGCAGTGCGCTGATATAAAGCTTTTTACTTGCTAAGAAGCGCTTTTGTATCCTTTTAAGCAATGAGCACAGCCTTTCAGTTACAGGAAATGATTTGGGTTTCCTGTTACCTTCTTGTATCCTTCCTTGTACGCCTTGGCAATCTGCACCCTGGAACTCTGGAAGAACTTCCACACTCCCTGCGATGAAATAGGGGATTTTTGGTCATGTACACACTTTTTTTTTTTTTTTTAAAACTGTACACACTTTGTTATACACTTCTTATACAGAGACTATTTTCAATGTGAATCTGTTATTTAGCAAAACATGTCCGCAAACCTATTCACAAACATGTTTTGTGAGACTCTACTATAGTCATGGACCGGGCCCGGTTCGGGCCTCCAATTTTTGGGACGAAGCCCGGGACCGGCCTGTGTTGTGGCCAGTGACGGTTCGGGCCGGGCCACCCGTCCGGGTCACGGGTCGGGCCACCGGCCGGATTGGGCCGGGTCAGTTTTTTTTCTCCTACTGATTTACACAAGTGCTTCATATTAAAAACAAAATTCAAGTGCATCTATTTGAAATAGGAACTACATTTGAGAATTAAGAAAAAAATTATAATTTGAAATACATTAATTGTAAGTTCTAACCAATTATTTAACTTGAGAAGTGTTACATATAAAAAATGAACGTATATTTATTTGAAATATGAACTACAAGTTTACAATTGAGAATTGAGGAAAAATTTCAAACATGAAATACATTTTATAATAAATTGTAAAATACTCCCTCCGTCCCGAAAACAACTTCCCGGTTGGACTTTCACACACTTTTAGGAAATAAATTTGACTTTACTGTAGAATGCACTGTTTTGCAATGTTTAAACACTGTTTGGCACTGTTTAAACACTGTTTGGCACTGTTTATCACTTTTTGATGTAGATAATTTGCCAAATAAGGAAAGTATTGAAGTGTGAAGTTAATTTTGGGACATCCATTTAAGGAAAGTGGGAAGTTGTTTTCGGGACGGAGGGAGTACTAATCAATCGGAATCTCCGCCATAGGCAGGCGCGGACCGTAGTAGAGACCTAGGGGGGCAGTGGCCCCTCCAACAACAAAAAATAGTGTATATATATATACCAAAAAATAATTTTCGCCCTCCCAATTTTTTTTTTTTTAAGTTACCGCCCCTCCCAAGATAGACTTCTTGGGTCCGCCCGTGGCCATAGATAGAGCCACCCTCGGTTGTTGATTCATCCATAAAGTGTTTGGAGGGGGTGATGCTAAATTCTTGAGTTCTACGTCCGGCCTTCAACCAATTGTGGTAGCATATAAGCGTCTCAAGACTTGAAAAAATCATTTGACGACCTTCCCGATTGAATGTTTGGCTGAAATTAGGTATGGATGAACTAGACTTGATGAGGAACCTACACAAAAAATTTGAGCAAAAAATACCACCGGGAAGACCCCCAAATGGAGGAGGCCGGACGGGGGGAGTGGTCCGGCCTGGCCGGACCTGAATAGTTGTGTACATATACATATACATATCCATATACATATACATATGCATATGCATATGCATATGCATATACATATGCATATGCATATGCATATCCATATACATATACATATGCATATACATATACATATACATATACATATACATATACATATACATATACATATACATATACATATACATATACATATACATATATATATATATATGTGTGTGTGTGTGCACATATATATATATATAATATTAATAAATAGTCGAATTATTATGTGTAAAATGTTACTTCTATTATTTTTATATTAATGTGAATTTCCATATTCAAAGGTGTGCGTTGGTAAACATGAAGTCAAATTGTTACAACTATTAAAGCATAGATGATATAATTTATTTTTATCATATCTTATATTTTTTTTTTCTTGTTGTCTCCAATATCATTGATTAATTAATGTTAGCCGACCCCAAAGTCTATTGAGAATTTTTTTTAGGGAAAGTTCCCGAAATGGGACTAAAAAAGTTCGAAAATTCCAAAATAGGACTGTCATGTTTTTATTCCCAAAATAGGACTAATTACTGCCAAATTTGAAAAATACTGACATGTTTGAAGTCTGGTACTGCCAAAACATGGCAGTAATTAGTCCTATTTTTAGAATAAAAACATGGAAGTCCTATTTTAGAATTTTCAAACTTTTTTAGTCTCATTTTCGGTAATATCTCTTTTTTTTTAATACTTATTTAATACCTTTTTACTTCCTCACCTTCAATTTCGTGAAGTAAATGAACTTGATAGTAGTAATTACTAGGGCAGGGTCCAAAAACCGAAACCTCAAAACCAAATCAAATTAAATCGAATCGCGAACAAATAAAATAAAACCGCTAAAAAACGAAACTGAATGTAAAAACCGAACTGAACCGTAGGTGTTTGGTTCACTTTTGGTTTTTACCTTTCAAAATCGAACCGAACAAACTCAACTAATTAAAATATGAAATTTTATTTTTTTATTATTAAGTATTAATCTTAATATCGTCAGTAGTCTTTGATTTTTTTTGTGCTAGAGAAATAATATTTGTGTTATGTTTAGTTTAGTTTATAAATGCATTTACAGATTCATTGTTTGTAATAACGTAGCTATATTGATTTATTATGTTTTTTATATATGTAAGTTGCAATTTGTTGCATGATAATATATTTTTTGGTTGTAAGTAGTAATTAACTTTTATTTTTCTGTAACTTAAAGTTTTATATTGATAAAATAATTATATATTCATCTCAGCTATATATTCTTTAACTATTTTCAAACTAGTTACAAACAATGTAAATTGAGAATATATACACTTTTATTTCTCTCACATACTCATATAATTCAAAACATTTATTTCTTCTCATTTTTATTTTATTTGTTCTAGTATGCTTACATTTTTTATGTAATGTGTTTGATCCCTCCAACTATTATATCAATTGTAAATGGAATGACAATTCTTAGTAAAACTCCGAAGAAATCGAAACAAATCGAACCAATCAAACCGTGATTCCAAATTTTGAATGTGGAACCGAATTGAAATCAAACCAATTTTTTTACTTCGACTCCGTATGTGGTTTTAGATCAAAATCGAATTGAAAAAATTGAACTTTCAAATCGAACCCACACCTAGGGCCTGTTTGGTAATGGCTACAATGGCTGAAAAGGCTGAAAAGAATGCTTGGTAATATATTGACTGAATTGGGTGATTGATTGTGTAATTAATATAAAGGGTATTCCATTTTTGTACTTAAATACTCAAAATTACCAACAACACATATCATAGGAAGAGCGAGAACAAAAAGCATAAACGCAAAATCACTCTGGTGGGGAATAAACTAATAAAGCGCACAAAAAATATCTTCATACCCAAAAAGCGACAACCAGAATTCTTTTCTTTACAAATTTTATGTTCAAAATCAAAGGTACAAACCAGATCCTAATACAAGAAAGTTTTAGCTGATCAAATGTATAGCTTGAATTTGACAAACGACGAAAACACCCCTCTTGGCGAAAGAGATATGCTCTGCTAGCTTACCAAATTAGTTGGAGGATAGGGAGAAGATATTGCAAAAATTAGTTGGGGCCGAGGAAGACATTTTGCCCAGTAGATAAGGATACCTCCGTCTCTTAACATTTAACAGTACCAAAGCAACTCACATTTAACAATATGCTCAAAAAATGACTCACAAGCTACTTTTTTGACTGATAATAGAAATCAGCCAAAGCAGCCAAATGAAGTGATGTTTGGCTATTTTATGAATTTTCAGTCTGATCAACCCATTTTTACTCTTCCAAACACCCTCCTAGTTTAGATTATAACCTGATTTTGTGGCTAAAAAGCTAAGTAATAAGTTTAATTTTAAACTTAATTAAATAAGTAAATTTAAAGTTATTGCTCTGCTCTAAATTGAGAGCATTTTCATCTATGCTTTATATCATTTTTCATTATTTTATTAAAATAATATACTACATATTACTCCGTATTATATACTTCATTCAATCACTGGGCGTTTTAAATTATTTGTAGGGAAAGAATAAAAACTTCAACGCATGCATTGTAAATAAACACGGATTAGAGTAGATGCTTTCCTTTGTTTTATTTTGTTTCGATTGATATATATTTCTGTTAGGTGACTGAGGATAGAGTGACAGAGCCAAGGAGGGAGATAGAGGATGGGTTTCCTGTCACAGAGAGTGGAGAGAAGCGAATTAGCAGCCGGCGACCATATCTACACTTGGAGAGCTGGCTTTGTGTACGCTCATCATGGTTTCTGCTCTTTTATCAACTCCATTGTTACATTTCTTTCCAGTTTTCTATTCACATTGTCACTGCTTTTGTTTTCTCATTGTGTTTATGATATATGAACATAATCTGTTTGTCAAAATGTCTATGGGGTGTTTGGAACTGATTCTGCTTCTTCTTTCTTAAAACAGAATCAGAATCAGTTTTCAGAAGCTGGTCTCCTCTAGCTTCTAAAAAGAGCTGATTCTAGGAGTAAATTAGAGCACCGGAAGTATTTTTACACTTTAGTTACTTACAAAGGCTGAGTCTTCTTACAAGACAATCATGCCATAATTACAGGACAAGTTAATTCAATGAAAGTAGAAACATGTAATTAGAACTGTGCCTATGCTGCTCAGTTTACCCATCTAGAAATATACATATTTAAATACAAGGGCATTCCACCAGACCAATATTCATTACTCTGATTCCATATCTTGTGCTGTTGTGGGATGGCTTCTTCTATAGGAATATATGTCGGAGGCAAGAAAGTGGTTCATTTTACAGCAACCGAAGGTAGTACTGATGCAACTACACGCCTCTTTGCTGTCTGTACCTCTAGTTCAATATGCCCAACTGTATGCACAAATCAGGACATTCCTGATTGTGGATTCCATAAGAGTAGCGGAGTCTTCCTATCTTGCTTGGATTGCTTTCTCGGGAATGGATTATTGTATAGATTTGAGTATGGTCGAAGATCTTTGGTTTTACTTGCAAAACTCCGTGGGGGTACATGCACTACTGCAGAATCTGATCCACCAGAAACTGTGATCCGTAGGGCCATGGACATGCTTCACGACGGATTTGGAAAGTATGATCTCTTTAACAGGAACTGTGAAGATTTTGCCAAATACTGTAAAACAGGATACGTCATCAATCCTACAAAAGCTTATCAAGTGGCTTGCAGACTAGGCCTAGGCTCTATGGGTCTTGCAGCCGTATTGAACCCAACTGTTCCGGTTGGCTTGAGTTTGGGAATGGGGGTGAATTTGGTAAGTAGGTATGCAAATGACATTGGTGTGAGAAGAGAAGTAAACACTTGGTTGAAGAAAATGTGCAAGACTTGGGGATGCAAATTAGCATAAAGAGAAACCCACTCCTACTTGTTATGCATTGGCTAATTCATAAGCTTTTGATCTAAATTTCTAGATAGCTTGTAGAAGGAGAAAATGGAATTTTATGTTTACCTACGATTGATTATCAACAACTTTTTATTGATTAAAGGCTAAAGGGTCAAATAAGTACATGAACTAACTTAAAGTGTTCAATTAGCCTCTTATATAGAAGGTTCTGCCTGGCCGTAGCTAATTGAGACGGTTCCCGGTGGAATTTTTTGATAAAATTTTTTGAGCTTTTCTTTCATTAAGTCTAGTTTATCCATACCAAATTTCAGCTAAAAATTCAACCTGAAAGGCAGTCAAATGATTTTTTGAAGATAACTATGCAGTTAAACAACACAGTACATTTTGGAAAATCATTTGACTGGCTTCCCGATTTAATTTTTAGCTGAAATTTGATATGGGTAAACTCGACTTAATGAAGAAGATGCTCAAAAAATTTTATCAAAAAATTCAACCGGGAACCGCCCCAATTGGCGACGGCCGGGCAAAACCTCCTATATAAGGGGCTAATTGAACACTTTAAGTTAATTCATGTACCTATTTGACCCTTTAGCCTTGATTAAATCAATTAAGTTATGGAAATGGCGCGTAATTGAAGCGAGGGGTGACACGGTACTAGTCTCAAGGATTGGCCTGTTCGGAACCGCACCATATTAACCCCTACAAAGCATTATGCAACTTTTGTCACAGTAATTTATACGGAGTATTTATTATTTAAGAGATCATTATTCTATGCTTATTGTAACTTTAGTCATGTTTCTTAAAATAATTTTATTTCAATGGAAAAACATTTTATTATTAGCCACCCCCAAAAAAAATTGGGACTTGGGTTTGAATGTTGCTGAAAAAACATTTTACTATTGCTCTCTTCTCTGTAATCCCACAAATTTTAAAGTATTATTCCAGGTGCAAATTACTTTTAGCAAAACTATAAGCAGCAGCGGATCTTGCAACAAAATATAGGATATTCAAAATTATTTATCTATTATACAATAATATTGTTTGGTCCACAAATTGAGATATGTAACTTTTCCAACATATAAATCCAACAAATAAGGTTAGGAGCAAGAAATAATATTACATAAAAATCAATACATAAATTATTACATCAATTTAATACATGTATTTTTATATTTTATTTTCAAAATTTTGGGTGTTCACATAATTGAACAAATGAGCTCCACCAGCGGAATAATTATGGACATAGGTAGCATGTGTTATTGAAATATGAATATTATATATGGAGTTCATCATTTCAACCTCACACACAAAATAGATGTGTAAATACCTATGTATACACAGCACATACTTTCAAGAGGAAGGTTTTCAAGAATATCAATCGTTGAGTAAATTTGACTATTGATTGATGTATTTTTTGGTTCCTGTACCATGTATCGATCCGATTCATGCTAGCTGGTCTCAAAATCTTGTGGGACTAAAGTTGAGATGCTGTTGAAACGTTATTATGTATGGAGTGTTTGTGTTAAATTGTTAAAATTAAAAAATCTACTAATTTGCAACTACCTAGAAATAGTATTACTCCCTCTACTCCCTCCGTCCCTTATAATGTTGTCAATTTTTCATTTTTGAATGTCCCACTAATTTGCCACTTTCTCTTTTAAATAAAGAATTTGTAATTCTAGTCCATTCTCTTTTCTCTGCACAAACCTCAATCACACAGTTTTACTTTATTATTTTCTTTGCCGGTCAAACTTGGCAATTTTATTAGGGACGAAGGGAGTACGATTTAAGAATTAAGAAACCGATATAAAATATAAGTTTTACATAGCTAACACTCTAGGATAGGGATGGCCTGGGACCGGGCTGTGCGGGCTCGGGACTAAAAATTTTAGGCTCGGTACCAACCTGAGTTTGTAGCGGGAATGGGCTGGGCTTGGCCTAAACAATATCAGGTGAGGATCGGGCCGGGACTGGCCTATGCAATAAAATTTTACTTTAATATTTCAAAATTATAGTAAAATATGTTTACCTGTGCCGGAGAATTTGAATATGCTTTTATCCCGTGCACAAACACTACCAACATTTATTTTTCTCGGTTTTCATGTAGAATCTACTTTTTACTTTTTCTATTATACAAAAATCACTTATTTTACCAAACACTACCAACTTTTACTAATCATTTTTTCCAAAAAATGCTTTTTTTAAACACAAATGTTTGCAAACAAAGCCTAAATGTGTGCGGCCGTGCGGGTATATATTTGAGTACTTCTTGAGATCTTCTCAAGTCCAAGAATATATTTTGAGTGGAAGGTTCAAGTGTTCAACTCTCCCCAATCATTAGGACTTTCAAGACCCTGTCCTAATCTTACATTAATTAGATTCGCTACACCCAAAAAATCACTCAAATCGAATAAATTCAGACTGGCAAAGCATTCTAATGTTTTTTTACTTTCATTTAAAAGCCTGCATGGATTTAATTAAAAAACATAGATCATCATCATCATCAAAATCAGAGCAGTATATTCTCCAATGGAATCTAATTCCTTTCCATTTACTAATTGTCACTGCAATCCAGGATGTCTATATTCTTTCTTCAAGAGTGGACAAATGAAAGTTGGATCATCGTCATCACAAACCCTCAAACCCTTCCATGTCAGAACATAGTCAATAAGAGACGGACCTTCTACAGCCCTTTCCTGCACATTATTAAATTACCCAGAGTTAATATTATGTTTGACAAATATATACTCATATTTCTCATTAACAGTAATAGTAATTATTTAAGATTACCAGTTGCAAAGAACATCCGCATAACGAATTTAATGCTTTGTAAAAATCTTCGTACTCAACTGAGATTCCATCATCCTCAACATCCAAATGCCTATCAAGGATAAAAAGATATCATCTTCAATCCATCTTAAAGGCCTTTTTATTCCAATATTACTAAAAATTGGATAAAAGATAAAAAAGTGATCTCTTTTTAAAAATTCTAAAAATGTGACTAACATCACAATTAACCCTGCAGTGTAAAGTGACTCCGGGCAAAGTGACTCCGACCAAAGTGACTGTCCCACCGACCAAAGTGACTGCCCCGCCGCCACAATGACTGCCCCGCCACCACAATGACTGCCCCGCCGCCACAGTGACTGTCCCGCCGGTCACAGTTACTGCCCCACCGGTCACAGATACTGCCCGCCGCCACAGTGACTCTGCCACCACAGTGACTCCACCCCACAGTGACTCCGGTCACAGTGACCGTCACAATGACACCCGCCAGCACCGCTGAATTACTGCCGCCGCACCGCCCAATTACCTCTGCCGGCCACCGCCTCCGGCAGCCACCAACTCCGGCCAATAACTGCAATCACCACACCCAGCCCCCTCCTCTGCCTCACCCAGCCCCCTTTCCACAGCCCCAGCGCAAAGCCCCCTTCCCTGCCTCATCCAGCCCTCTTTCCATAGCCCCCAACCCCCCGCGGACAGACCATAAACTCTTCTCTAGCAGGCCAGCCCACCTCCATAGCCGCCAACCGCCCAGATCTGAAAACCACGAAGCATTGGACAAGCAGCGACGGCCAAGCAGCGGAGGAAGAGGCGGTCCGGCTGTTCAGGCTCCTCTTCGACTCGAGGACGGTGGATCCGACAGATCCGAGCCCTCATCCACCAACGTTGGAGGATCCAGAACCGGTTGCGAGAAGAAAGACGAAGAAGAGAATCGAAATGGAGGACGGGCGGCGTCTGCTGGTGGAGGTGGCGAGCTATATTATCTTTGGCGGTGCTCTAGTGGATGTGTGGATCTGGAGAGCTTCTCACGCGATGGAGAAGACGATTCTCAAGCGGATGGAGAAGAGTGCAGTGCGGGACAGTTTTTTGGAAAAAATGGGAGTGGTCATATTTTTAGAAATTGAAACTTAAGGAGTAATATTTGGGCAATTATTTCCATCTTAAATCTTCTGCTTATAATAGTGAAATAAGTCGACATCCCTAGGTCCTAACATCATCCGTTTTTTATAACTAATTAACTGAATTAAAGTTTTATTTAACGCTTTTAGACTTGAGAAAGTACTACTAGGGGCGGGTTCAGTTCAAACGGTTCGATTTTCACTAAAAAGCAAATGTAGAATCAAAGTAAAAATTTTGGTTTGGTTTTATGTTAAAAATTTTGGAACCACGGTTTGTTCGGTTCAATTTGTTTCGGTTTTTTCGATTTTTGTCAAAATATTTTTGTTGATTAGAAAAATAGTACTCCGTACTACGTAATTGGAAAACAAAAAGAACTATATCAAACTAGTATTACTAGTTATACAATACAAAAAACTATATCAAATTAAGTTATTCTGCCAGAGTATTAATCTACGGTCAATCTGATGTTTATCTGTTTTTAAGTTAATATTATTAGTTATTACTTATGACTGTATTTATTAACCTAGGGTTTAAACTTTAAAAGTTATCATACAAAACTATCATTTAGCTTAATAATTTATTTGCATAATACTCTGTATTTTACTAGTTTGCTTGACTCAAGATTCACAATTTAATTGGAAATATTATACTTCGTATTTAACTTTATTACAATTTGGTTATAAAATTATTTCTTTGGTTATACAATTTTAACGCTATCTATAGTGTGGTAGAAGGCGGATGTATGCAGGCTTACCCCTGTATTAGAAGCAAACGGTATCTATACTGTGGTAGGGGGCGGATGTATGCAGGCTTACCCCTGTATTAGAAGCAAACGCTATGGATGTATGCAGACTTACCCGACTATTAGAAGCAAACACTATGGATGTATGCAGGCTTACCCGTCTATTAGAAGCAAACGCTATCTATAGTGTGGTAGGGGGTGGATGCATGTAGGCTTACCCCTGTATTAGAAGCAAACACTATCTATAGTGTGGTAGGGGGCGGGTGTATGCAAGCTTACCCCTGTATTAGAAGCTAACGCTACCTGTGGTTGTGGTGGGGGCGGTGGTGGTGGTGTTGGGGTCGGCGGCAGTGACAACAATAATAACAACAACAACAACAATATAATACTCCCTCCGTACCGAAAAGGTTCACCAACTTTGACTTTCACGTGGATTAATGAAGTAAAAACTGTGTGGTAGAAATTTTTGCAGAGGAGAGAGAATTAACTTTAGCCACATATTTTCCTCACTTTAAAAAGAAATGACATATCTTTTTAAGACATCCAAAAAAGGAAATTTGGCAAACCTTTTCGGAACGGAAGGAGTACTATCAAAGATACCAAGGAGTGTCAACATGAAAATCAAGTTAATACCTGACCACACCCATAGTCTCAAGAAAGATGCGTACTGAGGTAGATTGATGAACAAACCATTGAGGCAAACCCTTAAAAATGAGAGTACTTGGACCTGGAAGATACAATGGCAAATAAAAGGAAAATATGGGATGTTAAGGAAATAAATTATCATATGCATCTTGATTTCACAGTAAATTATTATCATTTAAACTGACTATTTATGGAACTATATTGGCTATGTCATGGCTCTATTCAAGTTTGGCTCATATGTCATTGTGTCTAATAGCGATCTATGAAGCACATAAACTCCCCACAGCTCATGTTTCCACGCTTCAGAAACTCGGAAGCATGTCGAAAACTCAAAAACTTCAAATTCCCCTTACCTTTATATGTCATATGTGTCTAATAGCGATCTATGAAGCACATAAACTCTCCACAACTCATGTTTCCACGCTTCAGAAACTCGGAAGCATGCCGGAAACTCTGAAACTTCAAATTCCCCTTACCTTTAAGGACTGCTTCAGAAACTAAGAATAATTGGGAAACTCGTTTTTCTAAAAAATTAGTGTGTCAAAAACCTGGGATTTTCAATACTTTCTTTTAAATAAGATTCTATGATGGAAAAAAATGTTTTTAAAAGTGATTTTTTGTGTTATTTTCTTAAAAGTATTGTGATATTTCATAAAACAACGCATTGCGAGAAATGCATTACATTTTATGTTTAACTATTGTACTACTCCTTCCGTCTAGGGCTGGACTCGGGCCGGTTCGGGCCCGGTTCGGGCCTGGGCCCGGCCGGGCCTCGGGCCAGGAAAGGGAGGCCCGAGCCCGAACCACCGGTGGCCGGTTCCGGTCCCGGTTCCGGGACAAACCGGGCCGAACCGGCCCAATTAATTTTTTTTTGTTCTCCTATTTAATCCCCTACCCCTCCCCCTCAACCCCAAACCATCCCAAACCACCTCAAATGGCCCAAAATACCTAATCCAACCTAAAACTTAAAAAAATTTCAACAAAAAAAAAATTAAAATCCGGCCCGGACCGGGCCCGAACCGGCCGGGCCGGTTCACCAAAACCTGGGCCCGAGCCCGAACCGCCCAGCAGCCGGGCCGGGCCGAACCGAACCGGTGGACCCACCGGGCCCCGGGCCGGGCCAAACAGTAACCGGGCCGGGCCGGTTCCGGGCCGGGCCGCCCGGCCCGAGTCCAGCACTACTTCCGTCCCCTAACTTTGTCCTGTTTTAACTTTTTCATCTATCCCATTTAGTTTGTCTCATAACATATTTGATAATATTTGAGTGGTTACAATTCATTCTTACTTTATTCAAATTTTATCAATTCAATACCAACCACATAATTTCACTTTTTCTTAAAAGTTGTGTTGCACCCCTTTGTCCAAACATAGTGGGACGGAGGTAGTAATATTTAATATTTAATGATACTTAAATTTGAACATGTAGATTATTTTATTATTGAGTAATTAAACAAGAAGAAATTAAGTGCGGGCATATGTAAGAATGTACCAATGAAAAAAACCTATTTAGGTGTATGAAAAAATGTTTATAAATATATCCTTATATTTCTTTAATATATACGTGTTCCATCCACGTTTTTCGTATCTTATATTCTTTAAAATTCATGTTTCTCGTGTTAACAATTTTTGTGCTACTTCGATGGCGATGAAGATTACGGGGAAAAAGAACTAAAATAAAAAAGCAGCATCAGGCAAACAAAAGGGAAGAAACCAGGATTATCGCCAGTTTGAAGAGTGTTTGAAAGGGCGGCCATCATTTGATCAGGATCTTCTTCAAGTGGCAGCGTTAGCGTAATTTGATAGGTGGCATCCATGACTCTGACTTTATTTGCTGTGCTAAGTTTCTTTAGCACGAAATTCCTGAGTCCCACATGGAATTCCTTACATATAATTCTCTGATCCCTAATATACAAGTAGCCATCTGCAAAAATCCACATGTCTTCCCCTTCATCATTTTCCTTCCAATCAGTGGGTCGCACAAAATGGACGTGGATGTCATCAAATGGAACTGTGAGCTGTTTGTTACAGACTTTGTAACGGTATAAGAGATTAGTGATGCGTGATTTTACATTATAATCATCCAAATGCTTAAAAAAGGAACCAATGCAGGCAAAGGTATAATTCAATTTAACGCGAGGAACCAATGACAGAGAGAGATCTTCATCCACTTTTACAGAATCAGGCGGCGAAGGAAATTGCATAAGAGGATTCATGGATGTTTCTCCATTCACTGCCACCATAAAAGCAGAGGCACTTTTAGAAAAACAATCCCTTTCATCCATAATTAGATTTCATAAAATTGAACATTACACTTGCAGTCTTCATTAACATCTAAAAGTTGTGCACTTCTCTGAAGAGAATAAAGATGCATAGGCAATCGTAATTCATAATGACCAAGTAATCAATCGATTTTGAGTGTTTACTGAATCATCAATAAATTTGTGTGAAGTCTTATATCCGATTAACACAAGTGGCCAATGGGGAAAAAAGGATTGGGTTTTTGTTATGCTGAAAGCATGTTTGGTAAACCATAAAAGTAACACTCTTTATGGGAAAAAAATCGAGTTTGACTCTCCTGCACCTAAACAAAACATATTCCACTTTACCGGGAATTGTGTACTTGGGTTTCAGTTGGTGAAAAGTCAGTTTTTAGCAGTTTCCTCTTTTAAAAGAGACTCTGGAGCCTAAATACACTTCTATAAAAAAATTATCTAATCAGAGGCTTTGTGGAAGTAATGAATAGAATAAGCAGAATGCACCTGAATTGTTGGATGAAGGAACTTCTGATGCTTTAAGAACAGAGACATTTTCAGTTTCACAGGTTGATGGATGTGTATCAAGAAACCGTAGAATATCACTCAAGACAAAAATGCGTGTCTCTTTTCTTGCAAGATGGAAAGTATGGCTAAATGTTCTTGTCAAGTCATCTTTTCCTGTAAAGTTTCCAGTAACCACCAGAAGAATACTTCCTTTGAAAGAGTTTTGGGCATAAAAACTCTTCACTTCTATGTCAGAATCCTTGTAATCCGAAGACAAGATCATATCGTTTATTCTCTGCCATTATAGTGGAACATGAGTTTGTTTTGTTGTACAAAACAATATGAATTCTGGAATACGAGAATTCTAACAGAACTTGACCAAAAACATAAAAAGACTCAAAAGGCAATGATCAATCAAGTAACATAAATAAGTATGGAGTAAGGCAAAAAATTGATCATGCCCTCCCATCCTTCTCCAAAATGTGTCCAACTATAGAAACCCTGAGTGACTACAGAAACTGGCAGCTTTTTGTAACAACAACAGATGAATCCACCTAACTTGGTGCATCCAAACATTATTCAACTTTCCATAGATATTTGGCTTCTTTGCCTGAAAATGATGGAATTCAATTCTAGAGTTTGTGAGGGAATTTTTAATTCCTGGGCAACTGCCTTCCCAAGAAACAACCAGATGCCAGTCTCAATATATAGTTTACATTAGTAACCATGTCGACATTTAACATATCTAGAATGCAAAATTTGGTGTTTATAAATTTTGTGACTTCAAAAGCAAAAATGTGGAGTTCAGGATCTCTATATGCATCAACCATACAATTAGGCAATTAGCTAAAACCATTATGCAATTAAAGAACAGAATTGGATAGAGAACTTAGTATATATGCACACTTTGATTGTTGTTACTGAATGCACAGCACCATCTTTTCCTTCCCAGTCAGCAACACTTGAATCCATATAGAACTGGTGTGTATCTTCGGGCCGCTGATGTAGTACGTGGTAATACTCCTCAGTAAATGTGCATCCCACATTCTCGGCAGAGTAGCGTCCCGTCATCTCTGAAACCAAAATTTCATTATAATAATACTTGAAAATTTCTTGAGGAAGATTAGCACAACAACATCAAAAACATGTAGAAAAGACGCTCCAAGAAAGCAAATGAAGGTGAATAATCAAAACCCTATTTAATTACAATCCCATTAAGCAAGACTTCATAAAACTATAAAAGTATTACTAGTAAACTGGTTGAGCACGCCCACCATAAGGAGGTAGTCTTTAGGATCAAAGCAAACAAGAAAAAACAAGTCTTTCAAAGGGAACAAAACTGAGAGTGATTTATATATAGTGGTGGAGATGGTTCAGGGAGAATATTTGTGAAGTAAATTTTCATAAATGTGTGTGTGAATCTTGAAATTAAAATTTTATACCATATAAAATATAATTAAAAACTTTGTACGTAAAATATTTAATTGTTATCTACAGTTTTCTGAATAATAAGATATTAATCCATCCAGGTCTCAAAAATCAACACATCAGCCAATTTGTATTAAAAACCAACACTTAAGCCAATTTCGGAAATTTTACACTTTCGCAAATTCAGGTTGTAACATTTATCGAACCACGCACGCACGCGCACACGGAGTACTATATTAAATTGTTGGGTTCTTCTATGGTGCCTACCAAAATAAACAATGTACCGGTGCCTTCACATTTCGACCAATCACATTACATTGGAAAGCCACGTAAGCGTCATACTCATATTACTGAACTAAGTTTTATTATTTTCATTTTAGGCCCTAATAAAAAAGTGAATTACCGGAGTATTTAATTTTTGGTAACCGCTCAATACTCCGTCACATCGATCTGTTACTTCCGTTCGTTCCACAAAAGACCCACGCCGCCTGTTTTGCCTTAGAACTTGTTATGCTTTCTATGGCTATATCAAACCCACAGATGATTCATGATAACCTCAAACATCACCAAACATCAGCTAAAACGATAGAACCCATTTTTCTGCTTTGGTGCTTTCAATTTGTGAACAAGGCTCCGGTGACGGGATGGATCACAAATATCTTTTGTTATGTGGTTGTGGCTAGAAACCATCTTCTCATCCCTTTTTAACAAGGCGTCGACGAAAAGAAAGGGTGCGAGAGAAAATCACTATTCCCATCCCAATTTTCATCTCCGTAGACGGAAGAAACTGCTCAAGATGAGAAGGAAAGATTTGACAGATTGAAATCATGGGGAGTGCTTTTGGAATCAGATGAGGCGGTTGAAGAAACGCCTCAGGCAGCAGAATGGATGACGGCGGAGCTGTTTGCTCTTTACAGGGAACAAGTTTGTGGCAGGTGCACATAGCAGGATGCCAGGATTTATAGAGGAATAATAAGGAGAGAGCTGTGACAGTGAAAATAGCTAGAATTGTGGGTTAAAAGGGGGAGGGGACTAGAACCAGGCTTGAAAATCAATTCTATTCTGACGTAGCTCTTCTTTCTCGCCTCTACCATCCCGACATTGTCCAGTTCATTGCAGCATGTAAAAAGGCCACATGTGTACTGCATTATCATGTAGTACATGTCACTAGGAACGCTTAGGATGTACCTTACCGACAAGGAGCCATACTCACTTTCAATAGAAACAATTCTGAGGCTAGCTCTTGACATATCTAGGGAATGGTATACCTTCACTCTCAAGGTGTGATTCACAGGGATCTTAAATCAAGCAATTTACTTCTCAATGATGATATGAATGTTAGGTTGCAGATTTCGGGAACACGTACCAGAGGCAATGCCACAGGGAATATGGGGACTTATCGGTGGACGGTGGATGCCCCCCGAGATGATTAAGGGAAAACCATATACCCATAAATTAATGTTTATAGTTTTGGCATTGTATTGTGGGAACTTACTACTTCTTTTATGCCTTTCCGAGTAATGACTCGGGTGCAAGCTGCCTTTGCGGTTTCTCAAAAGAATGACAGACCATCGTTCCCTGAGACTTCCCAACCAGCATTGGTGCTGGGAGCTTCTTCGTGCGGCCTGAGATGTATCAAGAGAATTAGGATGGAGGGAAAGGAATCCCAAACAAGATGCAAAGAAATTAGCACACTTGATCTGTTTGGAGGATTGTCGACCGATGTGGGAAATTAATTTTCAAGGGGTTTTTACTTCATTTTGTAATGTTTTCATTTTATAAATTTATAGATGGTTGGTTTAGAAATTATTAGATATTAGCACACTTGATCACTTTGTAATATAGATGGTATGATAAATGTTCAATAGTTGTGTCTAAGAATTTTTCCTGTCCAGGGACACATATCTGATATCTCTATGTGATTGTACAATACTCACTACACTGTATAAACATGTTTTTGTGTATTTTGGTCTTAAGTGGATCATTCTTATTCCAGTTAATTTTTAATTCTGGTGCCTTTTACTTTTTGCACCAGTCTCATAGTAGGCAGTTTTTGTAAGGTTCAACTTATTCATGGATGCAAATGCCAACTTTCCTCAATCAATGAGACAATGAACAAACACCCATTAAAAGCTAAAGACTAAGTTCTCAACGAGTTAGAACACCCCAGAAATAAAATCAAGTTATTTAGTTGCTGCTATTCAGTGTTTTTCATTTTTTATCACCTTTTCATTCATGGTTTTTCATAGCTTCACCTGAATGGTTAAATGGGGGTTTTAAAATCTGATCTTTTTGCCCACCCCCTAATAAACCTCATGCTACTCCTTTTTCTCAAAATAAAAAGATCTCTTAGTACTTAATTTGGTTATTGTGCTGATTGATAGACTAATGTGCCAAGCATTTAAGCACGCTGATTTGAATCTCTCTGCCAGACCAAAATCCGTTGTCCTCTTATTTGAACGCATGATTCAACATATGGAGAACTTGAGTTTCCAGAACTCACTGTGTTATGTGTATATGATATAGGAAAAAGGTTGTCATGTGATAAGCCATTTGATAGCCCTTCTCTGAAAGTGAGTGAGGACTTCAACAACTCTGAAGTGTACTATGTATCATTTACTTGGCTTATTCTTTTTTATCTTCAAATCTTTTATCCTTCTGCTTTAAAAGACTAAAAATTTAATTGCAATTTTACTTTTCTTTATGTTCAACTTAAATTATAACTCAATCTATTTTTCTTTTAAAAAAAACTCAATATATTCATGCACTTTTTTGTAATATATTTTTTATATTCATACACTTTTTCTAAAATATCTTTTTTATCTCTTTTATACTCCGTATGTTTTTAAAGGGTTTTTTAAGACAATAAAAAGGTTTTTTTTTAAATCATTTTTTAAATCATTGCTTCATAGCTAGAAATGGTAATTCTGAATCTTGGTTGAACAATCCAGGTTACTTCAAGCATTAATCTATGCTGAATCATGCTTAGGTTTTCCTTTAAGGCTATAGCCATGCCTTAAAGGATAGCATTAAAATTATAAAAACAATGATAACATTGCCCAATGCCCATGAAAAGTACCAAATACACAACAGAGGCTAGACAAAGGAAAAACAACATCAACTCTTCATGTTGTGTGCACTTTACATGAAAGTATTATCATTCTATCCAAAATACGCTTTCAGATGTTGTTCATCTTTGCCTTCAAGTTGTAGAGAAGAGTCGTAATTTGTGAAGACAATCGGGAACGAATCAGCCTATGAAAATACATCAACGCCAGCACGAAAACTAAAATGTTCAGTAATCAAGTATCATAACTACCAGTAATGCAAATTAAAGGTTTGATGAAATCATTCATCATTCATACCTTAAAGATTAAATAGATGCAGAAAACATCATCACAAACATCATAATTATCCAATAATGAAAAGGGGGATGACAGCCAAACAAAGAGTTATCCATTTTGTGTCAAAAAGAGTTATCCATTTAGTTTGAAAGATCACACAATTTACCTTGTAAATAGAATCTACACGTTTCAGGATTTCATCATCCTTAACCTGGAACAAACAAGTGTGTTTATCAAAGCTTAGCGTCTTCTCAAGTATGTAAATTAAATTACTCATATTTACACAACATTGCACCTAACAAAACTTACTCTTAGGCACTGGGCACACTATTTTTCATGACTTGTTGAAGCATTCCCACCTTTAATCTCACCATGTAATTACATCCGTCAACAATCCTCCAGCCCTAAAAAGAATATAAAAAATTAAACAAGTATGAGAGTTGATTACATGCCATTCTTTCGTCGCCGGGCCTTGTCTGGGTTTGATAACAGCGCGCGGTGCGGCTATTCTTCTGAAATGTAACGCCAGTGATAGAGTAAGGGTCTGTTTGGGACAGCTTCTTTTTAAAAAAACGCTTTTTTTAATGAAATGAGAAGAAGTGGTTAAATAAAAGTTGATAGTGTTTGAGAAAAAAGTGATTTTGAAAAGTAAAAGTGGGTAGTGTTTGGTAAAATAAGTGTTTTTTGTGTGATAGAAAAAGTAAAAGCACTTTTGACACGCGGAAGCCGAGAAAAATAAAAGTTGTAGTGTTTGGGAAAATAAGTGCTTTTTTAAAGCTAAAAGCTGAGAAGTGCTTTTTTAAAAGCAGTGGCAACTTGGATATTTCACTTATTATTTGCGGCCTAAATGTAAATAATTAAACATAGTTTAGTAATACGAGTAGGATGCTAACGTAGCTTCAGAAATTAGGCACCGTAGAATTTTCCTAAATTGTTATGAATATGATGAGTTCGGAAATTGAGAAAAATAAAAAAATCTTTTTTTATGTTCAACGTTTCCTTAATTTTCTTCTATCAAAATTTAATATTGCTAACATAAAAGAAAGCATTCAGAATAAAATCATTTTTTTTTTAATTTTCAAGTTTCAACCACCAACTTTTGCGACACATGAAACAGAAGGATTCCCCACACGAAGAAGCAGAATTACGGTGACAAAGAATGGAGGAAAACAGTGAGCTTTATACCTTTGATCAAAGATATGAAATTATGAAGCGTTTGGGAGGGAACATGCGAGTCGAGTGAAATATACAGTCATACAGATCACAGAGGTGGAGATGATTTGGGGAGAATTTTTTGTGAATTACTTTAAGTTTTACGGAGTATTTATATTGAAAAAATGACCCGCATATTATTGCTGGACTTATGGATTCTAAATATATGACTCGTATAACATTTCCAAAAAATATGACAAATCTTAGAAAAAATGACCCGCATATTATTGCTGGACTTTTTTTTTTTTTTTTTTTTTTTTGAAAGTGATCCGCATATTATTGCTGGACTTTTTTTTTTTGAAAATGATCCGCATATTATTGCTGGACTTATGGATTCTAAATATATGACTCGTATAACATTTCCCAAAAATATGACAAATCTTAACCGTCATCTTCTTTCGCACGCGCAAACCATCGACTCTCTCTGCCTCTTTCTTCGCACCGCACACAGATCCATATGGAGACCAGTCCCTAAACGGCCGCTCCGGTTCTCGTCTCCACCGCGTCGCCTCGCTTGTCTGCCTCCGCGTCGCCTCTCCTCCGCCGGATGCCAGGGTCCCGTTCGTGGCAATTTCAGACGGAGATTCAGATGCTCCGGCGGTAATGGCGAGCCATCGATAATCTCTGCATCTCAGATCTGTTCTGCACCGGTGCATCTCGGATATGTTCTGCATCGGTGCGCATCGGTATATGTTCTCCAGCCTCCTCTTTGCATCAGATCTGCTCGTCTCTTTCGATTGGGGCCGCTTTCTCTTCTGGATCTGCGACCATTTATCACTCCGGGTCCTCATATGGGAATGGACGGCTTGGAAGGGGATATGGACCGACGGCGAAGAGGATGGGCTGGGTAGAGTGTGGAGAGGGTTGGGGGCTGCTAGGGGAGGGGATGAGGGAGCATTCTGGGGGCGGCGGGGTGCGGTGTTTGGCAGTGGCTAGTGAGGGGCTGGTGGGAAGTCAGAGCTAGGGCAGGGGCAAGGGCTGGGGTTTGGATCGCTGGGGCATGGTAGTAAGCAGTATGCTAGGATGGCGGTGCAGGAGTGGTGGTGGTGTTATTGTGGCCGTGGCCGGAATAGGCACTTCACTATGGCGGGAATTGGGTGTCACTATGGGCCCGTGGCCAGAATTGGGTGTCACTATGCCAGGATTGGTATTTCATTGTTGTCGGAATCGGGTGTCACTCTTGTCGGAATCGGGTCACTCTGACCGGAATTGGATGTCAGTATAGCCGTTGTCACTGTGGCCGGAGTCACTGTGACCGGAGTCACTGTGACCGGAGTCACTGTGGCGGCGTGGCAGTCACTGTGGCGGCGGGACAGTCATTGTGTTCGGTGGGGCAGTCACTGTGGTTGGTGGGGTCACTTTGGCAGGAGTCACTTTGCCCGGAGTCACTTTGCAATGTTGGTCACATTTTTTGAATTTTTAAAAACAGATCACTTTTTTATCTTTTAGGCTATTTTTAGTAATATTGGAATAAAAAGGCCATTTATATTTATATACGGAGTTGAGAGTTGGGAAAATTGTAAAAAGGGAAAAATAATTAAAATATCCAAAACTTTGAAGTGATGTGAGGTAAGCATCCTAAATTTGCATATGTAATTTAAATACCTCAAACTTTATATAAAAAGTTATTTTAGCACCATGGTCATATATTATTTCTTTAAGAAATGTTAATTTTTGGTGTTAATTGCATAATACTACATACAAAATAGCAAATTAAAAATGATGCAATTGTATAGAGTGGGGGTAGTATTATTTATTTTATAATGGAACTTTAAAATGTTAATTGTATCTTCATGAATACTAAAGTATACCCGGCCACGTACCCCACATAACCCGATCGGGTATAGTGTAAAAGTTGAATACTCATACCATCACCCGGGCGAGGCTAAAGAAGCTTTTTGAAAAACATGATGCATTCAACCGGGTATCATAGTCCACCCGGCCGGACAAAAAATTAAAATGAAAAAGTCCCGGATTAACTCAAACATGATTGGGTAACTAGGAAGCACGGAAACTCTCCATGGCTCACGTTTCCACGTTTCGTAAACTCGGAAGTGTTTCGGAAACTCGTAAACTTCACATTCCCGTTTCTGGGCTGTTTCCGTAATTAAGAAAAATTTGGAAACCCGTTTCAATACGTTTCGGAAACCTCGGATTCCAATTTTTTTCTTTTTCAAAAGATTTTGTGGTGGAAAATAATTTTTTATAGTGAATTTTTGTGGTATTTCTCAACGGCAACACTTGTTACATTTCGTAACGCAATGTATTGCTAGAAATGTATTACTCCGTACATTTTATGTTTAATTATGTACTAATATGAAATAATATCAAAATTCGAACATGTAGAGTGATTTTATTATTTGGTCACTAAACAAATTATATTAAAAAACATGTGCATATGGAAAAACTTGTGTACATATATTAAAAAATATTTATAAATATATCCTTATATTTTATAATATTTACGCGTTTCCCCCACGTTTCATGTCTTTTATTTTTTAGAAATTACGTTTCTCGCGTTTCCCGTTTCCCGTTTCACGTTTCCTGTTTTCCGTTTCCGTGCTACTTAGGGTAACATAACCCACCCGGCCAGGTATTCACCTACAGAACACACTGCCACTCAGGAAACATTATAACTGACCGGGTACCATACCTCACCCGACCGGGTGAACGGGAAATTTGCATTTTACCAGGTCGGGCAGACGCCCTCTCCACCTACTTTTCTACACCAATTTTGAACCTTACTCCCAAAATCCACCATTTTCATACATTCAAGCTCTCATATATATCTCGCTCATCCATCCACCCAATCCACAAATTAACACGACATTCTTCTTCCCCTCTCCATCCTCTCCAAATGTTGGTGCCATAAAAAACTGATACCCTAGCCTTCAAGCTCAAAGGTCCAATTTGGAGAACAAATACTCCAACAAAATCCCAATTTCTTTCTCTACTCAACATCCTCTCCACACCCTCAAACCTCCCCCAAATCATCAAAACTTTTACAACTTGAGGGGAAATCATCTTGGAGATGAGCACTAGGAACAATGCTTTGGCTAGCTTGGGGGAGAGTTTCATTGAATACTCACATTCATGCTCTTTATTCTTTTTCTTAAAATAAAATAAAAACAAAATTAATTACCTTTCCCCGGCAACGGCGCCAAATATGACGAGCACTTTGTCGTAGTGCGTCAAAATAATTCGATACTAACACTTATACGTAGTATAGTGTAGTAGAGTTTGTATCCACAGTGAAAAGAAAAATTCTCTTATTATGAAACTAGTAAATGAAAGGGGGTTTTGGGATTGTTGGAATTTAATTCATTTAAACAACAAGTTGAACGACTTATATGAGTTTTAATTCTAAAATCTTATAAACACCAATGAAGGTTAGGGTGTTTTTGGTATATAAAATGTGTTGGTGTAACACAAAGCAACATTCAATTGTACAATATGGTATAATCATTGTACCATAGAGTTTTACCCTTGACCACCCGTTATCTCCGTTAAAATCCACGCATCCAGCATTCCATCCTCTTTATTGTATGCCACTGTCTCTTCCTTGACCTCACTTTTTCCTGTGTATTTAACTAATCTTTTTCCATTTAATAATTACACTAATTAATTTGGAATTTTGAATTCGTTCTTTGCGGTGTGCCTATGGTCGTTTGAGTTAACTTCACTCCCAAACTCCAATTCAAACAGTTGTATATTTGTTGACTCGGGGTTCCATCTTAAAAGATAAACCTGATATGATGTTTAATTGTTTTATAACTTTCCGGTGTGGGACAAATGCTTTAACGTATTGTTGAAAATCATTTTTCTCTCATTTTCCTTGTTGCAAGGTATGTATGTAAAACGTAAAAACAAATACGCTTATTATTTTTATCACTTTGATTTTATGAATGTCATGTACGATTTTTTGTACATTATGTGTGAAAAGAGCTAATTTTGATGATGGTGATGTACTTTTGCATCATCATCGATATTTCAAAATAAAAATTTACAAGGGGAATTGACATTTCTTGCCACACTGGATTATATTGGATAATTCAATTGTTTCCTCTCTCCCCTTAAGTTTCTTTTGTTGTGAATGCTAGACTTGTCTAAAGATGTTTTTACTTGAACTGAAATTTGTGGGTCTGGTCTGATCTTGCATGGTATGGTCTATTAAATCTGGTCTGGACTGATAAATATATGGTCTTTGTGTATTTTATAACTACAGAAGTATGGTCTGGTCTGAACTGGTTCGGTTTGGTCTGATAAATGTCCGGTCTTTGTGTATTTTATAATTATGAAAGTCAGGTCTTGTCTGTTTAAGTCTGGCCTGATCTGAGACTGAAAACAATCCAAGTAAAACCATCTTAAATAATATTCATGTTTCGTGTGAATGAAAAAAAGAGCTGCGTACAGTGGAGTGTGTGAGCCAACATTGAAATATCGTATACCCTTGCTTATTTAAATGGCATTATATTTTGGCTTATAAGGATGTTTTTACTTCGACTGCTTTCTGTCTCAGACAAGACCGGTTTAAACCAGACCAGAGCAGAATAGACCATCAAATTACCGTCTTAGTAAAAACAACCTAAGTCAAAATATATCAAATACTACGTACTTGATATTTTGGCTACACTTTGAACATATCTTGTTCAAGTGAGATATGAACAATTGAAATTGATATGTTGGCTAGCATTGATACGTACCTGCACTTTGATACCGGCCAATTGAGATATGAATAGTCAATTTCAATATTATAGTTTGAACATTGAAATTGAACTTCATACAATTGAGAGTGATTGATATTTTGGCTACACTTTGAACTTCAATATCATACCTTTGATATTATATATGGTTTATTATTGCCTCAATGAAAAATTAGTCAAATACGTACCCTTGTTTTTTAAACTTCAGGGTACCCTTGTCTGGGGAGGGGGTTGGGGGCCTCGAGTTATTGGGGTTGAAACTCACTCCATTGAGTTTCGAATCTGAGACCTCCCGTAAGGGAGAGTGAGTCAGCGACCAACTGGGCTAGACCGCTTCCTCACGTACCCTTGCTTATTTAAAGTCATATTTTGTAAGCCAACATTGAAAAATCCAATTTAATTTTAGCTTCACATATCCTTTTAAAGGAACCACCTCTTGATCAAACACACAACACACACATACAAAAACATCAATATAAAAAGTAAACTTTAGAAGCTATCATACCCAAATAGCGAATACAAGAAATACAAAAATGATGTTTGTACTCCCCTTTATATCCACCATGTTTGTGAAGGTTCTTTTTTGTCTGTGAGTTCCATTCACTGACAACATTTTGTTTGTGCAGAATTTTCACAGACAAAGTAACACATATTTTATTTGTGAACCAAATTCACAAACAAAAAAGAACCTTCACAAACATGGGTGAGTATAGGGGGGGTACAAACATCATTTTTGTATTTCTTATATTCGCTCTTTGGGTATAAAGGGATGAATATAAGGTGGGTATAAGGATGAGTACATCAACTCATCAAGCATTGTTGTAAGAAATAATGCTACTACGCGTGAGATCCCTTTGCCATTCATGATATTTGTCAATTAGTTTGCAATATTTGTATGAAGATTCTACTATTAATTTCGTGTGTTTTCTGCACCCTTCTTGAATTAAGGAATTTCACTTCAGAATAATTTGGTTATTAATCAATTTACTTAATCATCGATCAACAAAGATTTTAGGACAATCTCATGAGAACCGGTGTGTAACTACCTGGAATCTGAGTAATTGAATACTTGTACAACGTTATGGAACAATTTCATCTCATTAATGGTAGCATCTGAGATAAAATTGTTTCAGAAAAGAAATGGCTTCATAATAAAAATTCTACTCAAACATGCTTGTTGTACCCACCACTTTGTACCCACCTTATACCCACCTCTGTGAAGGCTGTTTTTTTTGTCTGTGAAGCCGGTTCACAGACAAAATATGTCTTTGAATTCCTTCACAGACATATTTTGTCTGTGAAGGAATTCACAGACAAAAAAAATAACTTCACAAACATGGGTGGGTACAAAAGTGGGTATAAAAGTGGGTACAAACATCATTTTCCAAATTAAAAATAGATGTGTGATACTAAAATGAGCAAAGAAAATAGAAATGAAGACAATGAGGATACAGATATGCAAATTAACATAGGGGGAGTTATGTTAAGCTAAAAGGTTCTGATACCTTTGTATAACTAACTTAATGAAACTTCATAAAAAATAAACAAATACACGTAAGCTGCTTACTTTGCGGTTCAGACCCCTTCATTAGAGTAAATAACTAGATATGCTAGAGATTAAAAGAGTATGTCACAATGCATCTCAATAAATCAAATTCTAGAATTTTCTCTTTCGTATTGAGTACATATAAGGAAGACTTTTAAATTCCAAGTGATAGAATATCATAAAAATGTATAAAATTAAAGGGTTTGTCAATGAAAAGTGATTGTATTCAATGTACACATCACATATTATTGGGCATTATCTTACACGCGCAACGCGCGTTGTAAAACTAGTTCAAATATAAAAAGGACTTGGTTTTGCCACTTTCTACTTGTTGATATGTTTGTTGATCATTGTTATATCTATAACTTATCCCCTCTCGAATACTCAATTGAGGAGTATCTCCAATTCATCGAGGGTAGTTATTAACAACGATCGTTCATTAATAACCTTTACTATTAGCCAAGTATAGAACACCGTCATATACCAACTTGATAGCAGCATTTAATCTCTTAACTCCTTGAAGAAATCAATTGAGATTGATAACCTCAACACAATGTTTTGGGTTTAACCAACACAATTAATCCCTCTTAAGATTATTAACCACGACCGTGCATTAATAACCCGAGGTTACTTAATTACTTGTGAAACTATCAATGATTGACCATCGGTTCATTGATCGTTTCTAGTAGTAATTAATGTCGAGATGTTAACTAATTGTCATCTTAGAAACATTCCCCAACATTGATATAGAGATAGATTAAGGGAAAGAATTAATATTCAAGGGAAGAAGTAAGAAAATAACTCACAACTTTAACAATCAACAAGCTTCAAGAGCAAAACCAAAGAATGGAAGTTTAGCTCCTCATTTGGAGACTAAACATGCTAGAAAAATATAAAGAAATGCTATTCTAAATTGAGCTCAAGAGTATGGAAGAAGGAATGATCATTATTGAAGGAAAAATTTGTTATTTATAAGTATTTTTCAACACCTTTGGTCGGGTACCCGACCGGCTATAGTGCTCACCCGACCGGGTACTAGTCAAAATCAGATCGATTCACCACGTTCTTGTGTTTCTACACGTCTATTTGTCCCGGGTCACATCTCACCAGACCGGGTGAAGTACCTCACCTGACCGGGTGAGGGTAGTTTCCAGGCACCTTCGGTTGTAAAGTCATACCCGACCGGGTGAGAATTCCTACACGGCCGGGTTAGTGCTCATGGACAGATTTCTTCTTGTTTTCCCTTCTTTTCCAACAACTCTACCGCTACTTTACAACTTACAAATAAACACTAAAAACAATTACAAACAAATTTAAACAAATGTTTACAAACTAATAAAACGGTAAACAATTCACACAAATGAAACATAAAAACATACATTTATGCACTACTAATTAGTGCATATCATCCGTACATCGCACAGGTACTACACTAGTTTGCCATAATATAGTCTCACGAAAGAATGAGAAGCGTACCGACTTTTCATCTCCTTCCTCCATCTCCATGTTGCCATTCATTGTTATTAGTTCATATAAACTTCACTATATTCAACTTTGGATCATATAAATGATTCACAATATCAATTACACTTTCTCCCGCTAAAATTATTTCATACGGAGTATTTCTTTTTCAATCCATCCAAGTAAGATTGTCTAATACCAAATTAGGGAAAATTTATATGGTTTTAAATCATTCTTACTTTATTTTGTTTTTATTCTTACTTTATCAATTCAATATCAATCAAATTAACCTACTTTTTATAGTAACAATGTCACTTCCTTATGTTTCAAAGTTAGTGAGACAAAGGTAGTACTATGTAGTATTTTACAATAACCGCATCAATTCTTCATGTCCTATAAGAAAGATGGAGTAGGCTTTTATTATTTTTCGTTGTAAACGATATCAAATTGACTCGCTATCAGGATACCCCTAGCGATGTACTTACATGGTGATATACCTATATATTTGTTGTTGATTGTTTTGTGTTGCATAAACATCGTTAGATTTGATAAGTGTATTACATCGGTAGCTTCTAGAACTCAAAAGTTTGGCACAATGAGAGCTCGTGAAAAAGGGTTTATGTCTGGTTAGAATGGTGAACATATTCGAGATTTATCGTGATGGTAAAACTTTTTAAAAAAGCGAGTTCATCTATTGAGAACAAAGAGGAATCAAATTAAAAAGAAAAGCAAGAGGGATTTGGATTTGGATAGGCAAATCTTCGGACAAGTAACAATGAAGTTGTAGATGCAGAAAATGTGACATTTAATTGAATACTAGTGTCAGTAGTGTGCAATACTGATATGATAAGATGAGTATTAATAAAGAGTTTCAGTCACTATCAAAATTGTTACATATTTATTCCTACTTATTTAAAACCTACAAGGGCATGTGAGCATTTAGATAGTGAGCTTGGAGGGTGAAGAAAATTGTTTTCTCTTAAGTGAAAAGCAAAGTTCAATTTGTTTTTTGGAAAGCAGTTGATGGATGCCCACCACTTTTGAGGGTTCTCCTCAATTATAGGGATTATAGCGCTCTACTAGTATCCAATTTTTCTACCATGAGACATGGTTTCTTCAAGGGTGGAGAAACGAAGGTGGGGTTGCCTCCCTCCAAGACCCTCTTTGTCTTCCATGTGAGAACATAGTCAACAACAGACGGGCCTTCTACAGCCCTCCTCTGCATGTTATAAAAATGACCAAGTTGGTATTAGGTTTCACAAAGATATGCTAACATTTCCCAAAAATTGTGTAATGACATATGTTGATAATGATCATCATCATCATAATAATTCCTTTCAATAATAATAATAATGATTTGTGATTACCAGTTCCAATGAACACCCGCACAACGATTTTAATGCTTTGTAACAATCTTCGTATTCAACCGTGATTCCATTGCCGTCAGCATTAAAACCCCTATCAACAATAAAAAAAAGTCATATCGACTTTAATCCATCTCAAATCTTTTATATATAATAGCTAAAGAAGTCTTCTTGAAAAAAGCCCATGTCCAAAAGCAGAAGCTTCTGGAATCCATATAATGATGATGATGATGATCACAGGGGTGAAGTTTGGAACAAGTGATTCAGGCTCAAGTCTGTCAGAGGTAGTGTGAGAGCAACCTCTTAAAGTGAGGGGTTCCTTGAGCATAGTGAGCATTGATATAGCCTCTGTGTTTAGCTGAGTTATCATACACAACCTCTCATATGCTCCGTCGCGCCGAGACGTGGGAGCCCTTGGAGTGGGATTCAACTTTTTGGAACAAGATGCAAAGGAAAGAGTGTCAACTTGAAAATACAATTAATAATAATAATAATACCTCACAACACCCATAGTCTCTAGAAAGATGCGTAGTGAGGCGGGTTGTTCAGCAAACCATTGTGGCAAAGCCTTAATGTTGAGAGTGCATGGCTCTGGAAGAAATATTGGGAAATAAAAGAGAGCGATGAGATTCTAGAGTGGATTCATCATCACAGTACATGGCAAATAAATGATCACTATCATTATGGTTCCATTTTATATAACGACTAGTTTGGGAGTTATGTGCCTGTGTTGGTTGTGTTTTCACTCTATTCAAGCTTGGTTTATATGTGCGTAATGGAAGGAAAATAAACATTATGGGAAAAGTAATTACTACACTAAAGAGCTCTGTTCTAAAAATCGTTCTAGGTGCCCGACTAGTCCCCGCCTAGGCGCTAGGCGGTGGTCGGGCGCCCCGATTTTCGTCTAGGCGCTCCGACTAATTTGTTTGCCGTCTAGGTGAATTAGTCGGCCGTCTATGGCGCCTAGTTGCCCGTCTATAGCGCCTAGTCGGCCGCCTAGGCCGTCTAGATTCACCGAATCTTACTTCACTTTTTAATTTTAATTTTCTAAGTGATATGTGTACTTTAACTTTAGCCATGTATATAAATAAATGAAGTTGTAAATTAAGATAAAATTGTATATGTTTGTATATATACCTAAATTTTATCATTATTTTGTTAATGTATATGTATATATGTATTTTTTACATACAAAAATACAATATGATAGTATTACTTATCATATTTATGCAAAAATATAGATAAAAATGCAATTTCTATATCTCCGACTAGTTCCCGCCTAGGCGCCCGCCTAGCCGCCTAGGCGCTAGGCTCTGGGCTGGCGCCCGACTAGCGCCTAGCGCCTTTTAGAACATTGCTAAAGAGCTTACAAAAGAGAGGAAACCTGGATTATCAGCTACTCGGGAACTGTTTAAAATAGAAGCCATCATTTGATCAGGATCTTCTTCAGGTGGTAGGGACAGCTTAACTTGATAGACATCTGCATCAAAGCCTGATGTTGAGTATGTGCTCAGATACTTGAGTAAGTGCTCTCTCAGTCCCATACGGAATTCCTCGAATACCAGTCTGCTATCCCTAAAAAACAAGCAACCATCTGCTAAAACCCACATCTTATCATTAACTGTCCTTTTGAATGGAAATAGTAGGCGGCAATGGATGTCCTTGTATGGAACTTTGAGGGGTGTGGGACACAGTTCGCGACAGTGGAAAGCATTTGAGATAAGAAGTTTGACATAAAGCTCATCCACACCCTCACCCTTGAAACCCTGAATGCAGCCAAACGTGAAATTCAACTTGATGCGAGGCACTAGTGACAGGGTCAGATCTTCATTGACTACTATACTCTTAGGAAGGGAAGGAAATGTTGTGATTTGAACTGGAGAAGTATTGGACCCCACACTGTTGGAATGCAAACTCATTTCCTTGACTAAATCATCATTTCCGGTAGGGGCTTGTGGGTCTGTTCCATCACCTGCAGAAACTCTTACAATTTGGACGGGAGGAGCATCAGGACACTTGCTCTCTTTTGACAGCTGTACCAAACAAACTCATTAAAATGGAAAAAATTATATTTAGCAGAAGGATCATAAGTTCTGCATGATAGTGGGGTTGTATAAATAAAACTAACCTTTTCAGGATAGGTGGTCTTGGGGATAGTTTCCTTAGAATTAACAACGGAAGGTTTTGGAAGTGATTTAATTTCTATCTTCTCACTTGATGGATTGAGTATAGACTCAATAGTGGCAACATTTGCTTCTGCCTTTGTGCATGTTTTCTTAGGAGCCTCAACATCTGTATGAAACATCATATGATAGATTTACAAATACCAGAGTATAATATGCGGAAAGCATGTTGGGTTACCATAAGAATTGTTACTTTCTCTAGAAAATAAAATAAGGAATTTGATCATCCTGCAACTAACCAAACCATATTCCACTTCGCTGGAGTTGTGGTTTACTGGTTTGGGTTTCAGTTGGCCAAAAGTGAGCTTTTGGCAGGTTCTTTTTAAATAGTTTAGTTGAAGTTATTCACGGCAATGAATTTTGTGCTTGGATACATTATTCAATATGTGAGTGGTGGCATAAGAGCTCTTTAAAAAGAAATCCAGACATGGTTTTAAAAATGAATAATTAATGAAACCGGTCCAAATCCAACAATATAATTTAGGGAGCAATTCAAATTAGCTTACTTCTAGATGGTACTTTCAAACTGCAAATGCAAAAGGAAAACAGCTAATGCAAAAATCAAAACACATATAGGAATCTAAAACAACTTGATATATTTAAAAAGTGATAGAAAAAAATAAACACTATAAATCTAAGAGATCTGTAAATATTCCAAAAGTGGAAGCCAAAAAGATATTTGCTAACCTTCACAACTAGATAATATATATCAAGATGGAGGTATATTAGTTTCCAAAGGAAGTAAGTTTGTTTTGACTCAAATGTAAATGCTTAGTTGGGTTTTAGTTATAAGGGTCAAATTCATAATCCAAATGCATAACAATTCAACCTATAAAAGCTTATCCATTTATAGGCTCTATAGAAGTATTGAATGAAATAACCACAATGTACCGGAATTGGTGGACGAAGGAGCTTCTGATGCTTCAAGGACAGACCGATTTTGAGATTCATGGGTCGATGGATGAGTATTAGGAAACCGCAGAATATCATTCAAGATGAAAATGCCATTTTTTTCTGATTCACTGGACGATGGATTCATATAAGGAAACCGCCTCTTGTGTCTTTCAAGAAGAAAAGTATGGCTAAATGTTCTTGTCAAGCCATCTTTTCCGGTCAAGTTTCCGGTAACCACCAGAATAATATGTCCTTCTAAAGAATTTTGGGCATAAACACTCTTCAGCTCCATGCTGGAATCCTTGTAATCTGAAGACATGATCATATCGTTTATTCCCTGCCATAATAGTAGATTATGTTTATTTCATTTTATAATAAAACATTTAGGGAGCAGCCTCGATATATAATTCACACGAGTAACCACATAGACATTTCACAGTCTGGAATGCAAAATTTGGTGCTTATAAATTTTGTGGCTTCTAACAGCAAAAAAGTTGAGTTCAGGATATCTGATTTGCACTAAGCCATTAGGAATACAACTAAGCAATTAGCTAAAAGCATTATACAATTACATATTTAGACACAAGAAAATTAGATGGTGATCTTAGTATAGATGCTCACTTTCATTGTTGTTACTGAATGCACAACACCATCTTTTCCTTCCCAGCCAGCAACACTTGAATCCATATAAAACTCGTGTAAATCTTCAGGGCGTTGATATAGAACTCGGTAATATAGTTCAGTAAATGCGCATCCCACTTTCTCGGCAGAGAAACAACCCACCAACTCTGAAACCAAACATGACATAACTCAAACCAAACTTCATTATGATAATAGTTTAAAAGATGAATTGACCGTAAATTATCCATTCATAGGCTCTATGGAAGTATAACAAGTATTGAATGGAATAACCACAATGTGCCGGAATTTGACATACTCGAGAGATTGCCCTTTGGTTCATTTACCTCTCGAGGGAGAGGGAGAGAACCATGGGTGGGACCCGGAATGCCAAAATGAGCCCGACGGGACACATTTTGGTCAGGGCGAGATAGTGGAACTTGGCTACGCAGAGCAGCATCCTGAACTTGGCGAAGCAGAGCAGCATTGTGAACGACTTGGCGACGACGCAGAGTTTCATCTGATGCCGTATTATTTCTGAAGAGAGACAAATCTGCACTCTCTAATTTCTGCGTGAGGCGCACCATGAAAGAAAACGAAGGAGAGTAAACAAAACCCTGTTTCAACACAATCATCCCATATTCCCATAAATCATCATGGCTTCATAAAAATGAGAATGAAAAATACAGTCATAAGAGTATCGATCAAAACCTTTGATACCGATTCCCAAAGTTGAAGCACTCTAGAGGGAACAAAACTCAAAACACAGCATACAAAACGCGATGATGGATATATAGAGGTGGTGATTCTGAAGCACTTTGGAGGAAATATACGATATGCATTTTTTATAGACGATATGATCATGTCTTGGTATAATCTACTATTTCCTCAAAGGAGTATAGTGTATGAAATGAGTATAGTGTTTAAAATAAATGTGCATGAATAAGAATTATAAAAAAACGTGATTAAATTTGTACTTTAAGAACAACAAATTATAAATGTTTTCAAAATAAAATTGTTATATTTCTCATTGTTATACACATAATATAATGATAGTTTAGTAAATTGTTAATAATAAATTTAATACATGTGCATTATATAGAGTTTTTGTTATATTCAAATAGTTATAATGCTTAAAATATAGGGAAAATCACATATATGGTCCCTCAGTTATTCACGAAATTAAAATCTCAGACCTGTATTTCTGAGATTGTAAATGTCACCCCTCAATTGTCCAAAATGCTGTAAATGTGGTCCTTTAAGTAGTGAAATGTACTCTCGCACACATTGTATATTTCACCCCTCAAAAGGACCACATTTACAGCATTTTGGACAATTGAGGGGGGACATTTACAACCTCAGAAATACAGGTCTGAGATTTTAATTCCGTGGATAACCGAGGGACCATATATGCGATTTTCCCTAAAATATATGATCATACACGAATATTTGAGCACATTAGAGGAATCAAATGAGTTTATAACTTTTTTATGCTTATTTTGTAAGTTATGCATGCTCATTTGGTACTTGTATTATGCTCATTTTAAAATGTCATATCAATGAATATTCTTCAAAAGTATAATATTTCACTAGATTTACATATTGAACTTCATATGAATTGGTTACAGATATTCCGTACAATTTAAGAAATTTTTACAAAAACAAAACTAATAATTAGAAAGTCAATTAGGAGACATGAGAACAACGACAACAGTACTTGTAGAGTTCTAATGTTCAATACACATAGTCTTGATACTCAATAGTAGAGAACGTGATACCCAATGAAAATGTTGTAATATAATCCTCAAATGAGTTTTTGAAAATTTTTGTGCTCAATTATAGAGTTTTAATGCTCAATACATATAAGCTCGAAGTATAATAGTAGAGAACATGATACTCAATGAAGATGTTTTGATACTCAGATGAGGTTCTTAAATTTTTATACTCAGTTGCAGGGTTCTAATGCTCAACAGAAGAAGCTTGATGCTCAATGCAAATATCTTGATGCTCAATTAATAGAGCTTACGATTTTCATATCAATGCATATTTCAAAAATATAATATTTAACTAGATTCGCATAATGAAATGGTTATAGGTATAATTTAAGAAATTTTTATAAAAGAAAAAATAGGATGTTAAGACCCGGAGTTCCATCCTAAAAGGTCAACCCTGATAGGAGGAGTAATCCAAAGTCTCATATAGTGTTTAAATAAATGTTTTATAGCTTTCCGGTGTGGGACAAATGCTTTAACACGCCCCCTCAGCCCGAACCGGGCTGGACAATATCGGGGGTATAAACGGGCCAAACAAACCCTTAACAAGCTACCCTTAATCATGGATGCTAAACAAGCCGGCAAACCACAACCGGAATTGACTCTGATACCATGTTAAAACCCGGGGTTCCATCCTAAAAGGCCAACACTGGTAGGAGGAGTAACCCAAAGTCTTATATAGTGTTTAAATGTTTTATAGCTTTCCGATGTGAGACAAATGCTTTAACATAAGAAAACAGAAGTAAATTAGAATGTATGAAGTGAATATCACGATGCACAATATTAGACTCTTAATACTCAACAAAATATGGTTGATGATCAATACATGTACATTGATGCTCAATTAACAAAAATCGTGATTTTCAATTAAAATTACAAAAACACCAACAAATGTACAATTTACATTGTACAACCAGTGGTACGGTGTTCGAACCCCCTTCTCGACTGAGCGTAAACGAAATAGCTCTCATTGACGAAATCTTAAACAATCGATCTTTCTTAGATAAAGTGTAATACACTCAGTGCTGCACCAATCCCCGATGGACCCATGAAGGCTAGGTATGTTTTTACTTGGACTGAAATTTGCTGGTGTGGTCTGGTATGTTTAAGTCTGGTCTGATCTGATCTGGTAAATGTTTGATCTTTGTGTATTTTATAACTATGGATGTCTGGTTAGATCTGTTTAAGTCTGGTCATGTCTGTTTAAGTTTGGTTTGTTTAAATCTGAGATTGAACCAAACTGACCCTTATCCCTAAAAACATCCTAAAGTCGAACAAAGATTACCAAAGATATGAAGAATCTGAAGAACCAGAGTTACATGTAGTTAAGTTCTACTCCCTTTTCCCTTTGCCCCGAAATAATTTCATTCTTTCCTGTTTCATCTATCTCAATATAAACTCATTTTTCTTTTTGGCAAATAAGTTGTGGTTTATGGAACTTCAGTTCACACAATTTCCACTTTGTTAATCCTTGTTTCAAGTTATTATGGAACGAGGGGATTTAAAGCTATATCAATAAATCTCCTCCTTTTTGCTGCTATTTCAAGTTATATCGATAAATTTTCATTGTTAAAATATAAATGAATAATATGTTAATTTAGTAATTTTTTGCAAAAGAAGGAATTAAGTACTACTAATCAAATCATTGTAAGTACATAAAGAATGATAGACGAAGGATCATTAAACCAAAAATGCAAATCAGACAAAGAACAATAAACTTTAGCAATCACATGAACTATTTTATTCGCTGATCGCCTAATATAAGCAAACAAGATGCTGGAAAAATATAATTTTCGTAAAGCGCAATTTTCATTATGAGTCATGGGCTCTCTGTGTTTTATTAGTACAGAGCTAAGTCTGCGTACATCCGACCCCCATTACACGTACAACCGTTGGTGGGAGCCTCTGTAAGAGTGGAGTAATATAATGTTGTTGTTTGTTTCAAGAAAAAGATTATCCGGAGTAGAATAGTTTTATTTGAGTAATATCTTAAGACCGAAAAGTTTTGCTTGAATACGACACTCCCTATATTATCTTCAAACTTTTATTTTTCGTTCGTCCCAAAATTATCTCATCTTTCCCTTTTTAGCAAAGAATTTGTGGTTCACAACAATTCTTACACATTTCTCTCTTCTCTGCATAGCTCTCCACCACACAAAACTCACTATCTTAATTTGTGTACCGAGTTAAAGGAGGAGATAAAATAGGGACAGAGGGAGTATGATCTAAAACCTTAGGTGCTTCTATCGAAGAATTTTGGAGACAACAAATGGTAATATAAGAACATCTTCATTCATGATCTTAAAATAAATGGTTTTTCTATTACACATCATTATCACATCATATTTTTTTTTATCATGTCACCTCATATTTATTCAATGAATTTTAAATAATTTCAAATCTTAAAACTCTTCATCAACCGTGATTCTCAAATAATTAGTTATATTAGACTATGTTTTAAATGCAATTTAATTACAACCTAAATTAATTCGGGATTCAAATCTTGATACAGGATTATCATTTTCAATACTTCATAAATAATCTCTCACTCACAATGATAATTTTTAAAATTATCGTACACAAAGTGCAAGATATCGATGATTTGACCATACCAGATTGTATGGTAAATCGTGATTTTGTGAGAAGGATCCAACCAACGGAAGTTAAAGAGGCTCTGAGGAAGATGGGGCGGAAGAAAGCAGTGGGTCCAGATGGCATACCGATCGAGGCTTGGAGAAGTTTGGGAGAGAGAGGCATCGGGTGGTGAACAAATTTCTTCAACAAAATTTGGAGAAACAACAAGATGCCAACGAGTTGGAGAAAAAGTACTCTTATTCCCTTATTTAAGAATAAAGGTGATGTACAAGAATGTGCCAACTATCGAGGGATTAAGCTTATGAGTCATACCATGAAACTTTGGGAGCGAGTGATTGAGCAAAGACTTCGAAGAACGGTGAAGATTTCAGAGAATCAATTCGGTTTTATGCCTGGTCGCTCAACAACTGAGGCTATTCACCTTCTTCGGCAACTTATGGATAAGTATAGAGACGCTCACAAGGATTTGCATTTAGTGTTCATTGACTTAGAAAAGGCATATGATAGGGTACCTCGAGAAATTCGTTGGTGGGCCTTAACTAGAAAAGGCATTTCACGCAAGTATATCAGCATCATCATGGATATGTATGAGGATAGTACTACAAGTGTTCGTACTAGTGTAGGGAGGACTGCGGAGTTCCCTATTACTATCGGAGTGCACCAAGGATCGACTCTGAGCCCTTTTTTATTTGCCATAGTCATGGATGAACTTACAAAGTCAATTCAAGACGATATACCGTGGTGCATGATGTTTGCCGACGATATTGTATTGATTGATGAGACGCAATCAGGGGTTAAAGCAAAGTTGGAAGTATGGCGACAGACATTGGAGAACAAGGGTTTCAGACTAAGTAGAAGCAAGACAGAGTACATGGAGTGCAAGTTTGGTGGAGGTAGAAGCAGTGGTAATAGCGGAATTACTTTAGATGGTAAGGAGATACCGGTCAGCAATATGTTCCGTTACTTGGGCTCCATAATTCAGAAGGATGGTGAGTTAGATGGAGATGTATCCCATAGAATTAGAACAGGGTGGATGAAGTGGAAGAGTGCGCCAGGATTTCTATGCGATCGAGGTATGCCGACTAGACTGAAGGGTAAATTTTATAGGACATCAATTAGGCCTGCATTACTGTATGGCACAGAGTGTTGGGCGGTGAAATAATGTCACATTCAAAAGATGAGTGTGGCAGAGATGCGCATGCTGCGTTGGATGTGTGGGCATACTAGAAAGGACCGCGTGAGGAATGAGACAATTAGACAAAGGGTGGGAGTAGCACCTATTGAAGATAAGATGCGGGAGTCACGCCTACGGTGGTTTGGTCATGTGCATAAAAGACCGAGTGATGCACCTGTCAGATCAACGAGTTGAGATGTGTGGAGAAGAGGTAGGGAAGAGAGGGAGAGGAAGGCCCAAACAGACGTGGGTTAGGGAAGTCAGAAGTGATATGCTTCTTCTTGGATTGGATGAGAGTATGACTTTGGGGAGAGCAAAATGGAGGCCGGGTATTCGTGTGGAAGAGTGATCTTGTATAATCTTTTC